AACATGAAATAATTGACCTTTACAGTGAAACAAACCTTGAGGTTACCACTTTCATAGTAAATCCATTTGCCAAGTTTAGTCTAAAGTTATTAATTCCCACTTTTATCGTGTCTGTAAAAGTGAAAATGTGATTTTCACTTTATCTTCAAAGAAAGAAGAGTTGGAGACATTACCACATTATAACAATGGTATGTTTTGTATATTGGCCGAAATTTGACAATAAGAACAACAATCATGAAATGTATTTATGACAAATATATTGTACTGAACCAAACCACCACACAAACAGGGGAAGAAGGAGAAAGTATAAAAGTCATATCAATACAATTGTAGTGCAACTTCTCACTTGCTAGTAACACCAGCTTTTTGTATTCCAATCAATATATTACAGCTAGTATACATACCAGGTTATTTGCCGAATTTATTGAGTGTCCAATGCCCATAAGAAGCACAGGAGCCTGTAATATATTTCCCAAACTGAAAATAATGATTAGATTCTTATAGTTGAGTGGAATGCATAAATAAGAGTCCTAAGTCACCAATAAATTAATTCAGTCGTAAATTGTTGAACTTCCTTTTCTTTCAAGTGTGTAGGGGAGTGGAAAATTAGTCATTCTCATTTTGTAGTTTATTTTCCCTTGATTCGAATTGCCGTCAAACATGATTCACAAAATAATTTATTAAATTTTTAATTAGTCGAAACACGTGGAGAAAGCTTCATCCAACATTCAATACTAATACCAAAGCATTTCAATCCACAAAGATCCAAAAGCTACTTCAGGAAATAGCTATGTCACGTTGGTGCGAGCTATTGATACAACTAAATAGCTCCTTCAGAGAACTGCAAAAGAGAAAAAAAAAATTACCTCGATTTTCTTTCTGCCCGGAATAGCCTCAGAATGAATGAAGTCATTGCTAGCAATCAAAATATGATCCCCTTTAGTTTCCAAAATCGCATAGCATGTGTGATCATCACCAGAACTGTTGGATCCTATGGGTAAACACTTCACATTAATTATTATATTTCAAGATGCAGAAACAAACCATCATTTTTTTTCGAATCAATAACAAAAGCACGAGCTCATAAACCGACGGAATCCCACCTCATCAAATTCTAAGCCGCACTCAAGAACAACCTTCCAATCAATTCAATTGAGACACTGATGCATCAAAAGCAAGAACAAAATCATGACCAGCATCGACAAATTCCAACAACGACCCAACATATACAAACCCACCAAACCTTAATCTCTACAACATAACAAAAAATAAACTATCAATTTAGAGAAAAGAAAAATCCATACAACTAAAGTGTGTATCGTTGTGTTCACTTACGGTCGGCCGTTGGCGAGACAACGAACCGTATCTCAGCAAGGCGAGCCTGGGATCGTCAGCGAGCTTAAAATAGAGGTCGAACCCTCACGCTTCGAGGGACCTGAAGAAGATGGAATGCGATAAAAAAACATAAATTATTTCTCAGCCCGATTAAGAGGCAAGAACCAAAATCAATTAACTACACCAACCAATTCGCAAATGCAATTTGCACATAAAAAAGAAATAAAAATAAATTATAATTAATAAAAAAACTATAAATTTACCTTGACCAAACGGCCACACTTCATCATTTGTCGGAAGTCGCCCAACTTGATCCTCCCGTAATCTCCCAAGTGGACCCTGACAATCATACTCTGGTACTCATCTGACGTCGTCACCTAATTCAGCCCCAGGCCCGCCAGCACCGACCTCAACTCATCCGTCGTGATGAACCCGCCCCTCCGGTAGAAAACCCTAAATGCCT